CCCTCTCGCCCCTCGTGCTAAATATAGATAGAGTATTGAACAGCGTATAGCCGAAACGAGTGAAAGAGAAAGAAAGAACACGTGCGTCGTTAAACGAAGACGAATATCAGCTGGCTGTGTTATCTCTGTATGCCGATACTCGCGGATGACGCGAGGCGTTGAACTGTGAACGCGCGACCCTCGTCGTATTCTCTCCGTGGCGGCTTCTTCCGCAAAGAGCTACCTTTTATCTGTGTCTTATTTAAGTTTGTTTTACGTTCGTTCGTGTGTACGTCTTCGTAGCAGAGTGGTTGTTTCTTCCTTTATTCTCCTCCTAATCTTTCAATATGCATACATATATATGTATATATTTTTTTCTTTCTTTATTATATGTTTGTAAATATTTGTTATGTATGTAGCTTTTTTATGCCGTTTATTATGTAATTTCTAATTGAAAATACGATTTTTTTTATCGAAACATGTATATATTTATATCATTCGTTGGAGGGGCATTTATCGACTATCTTATCACGTAATAAGATTCCTGTTACTTTTTGCTGTATCGAAATGTGCTAAATTTGTATAGAAAAAAAATGTTTTTTTGTCTAAAACACTGTTTCTGCCGATATTTCTTATTTTCTATTGAAACAAAACTTTTGTTAAAACTTCTGTTGAAACAAGTCTCTCAATATATCTGCTCCGAAAGAAAATCGCAGCTCACGTCAGAAGAAACAAGGTAGGCTCAGCAAGATCGGATGGGTCTATAGCGAAGAAGATTCGCTGCAGAAGAAACCGATGGAAGAGGAGATGCAGCTGCAGATTGCAGGTGGAACTGGTCGAAGAATCTGCGACGATCGTAGAGAATTGCCGTCGGTGTAGATAGGACGTATGCCGTTGGAATTGTTGGCAAAGCCGGTCGAGATTTACGATCGCAGTGAGCACTCCGAGTCTGTCGAGAGGAGGGAAGGTGGGGACTTGCACGACGATTTATAGAAGTCTGATTATAATCCATTAAATTCACTGAAAAGAAGAAAAAACGGAGTAAACGCGCCTCCGGATTACGATCGAGTAATCCGTCGATCGTGGGGGACAAACCTGTCGTCGATTATTCACCGAAAGTTTATTCATGCCACAGCTCACGACGATTCCTTTGAGTTCCATGCATTCCGATACGTAGTGCATTCCACGTTCGGATAGAAGGAAGAGCGATCGGTCGTCTCGTCTCTTAGTTCACTCCGAGATACACATCACAGAGATAAAACTTTTTTCTCACCGAGATACGATTGCATACCTTTCGCGACACACACGCACACACGCACACACACACACACTTGACGCTGAATTTACGCTCAAACTATCCGCGATGATATGACTTACTGCGTGCGGAGCAACCGAAGCGACGCAACTCCGTCCTCGAGCGACAGTCGTGAGTCGCACGGCTGCTGCGCCGAGAAAAGTAAGAGGTGTTCTCGCGAGTTGTGGCGATCCAGCTGTCACGATCGCTTTTCTTACTCGAGCTCGCGAACGACGATTGCCCTTCTCTCTTTTCCTCACCGATCGCCTGGTAAATCACCTGGTAATCCACCCGCGCGAGTGGGAGTGCATTTGTTTCTTATACCGTCTGTTGTCGACACTCGCGAGACAGAACAAACGCGTTTCTTCTGCGCGAGAAGCGCGTACGATGACGTAGCGCGCGGCGCGATCAGTCCGCACCGCGGACGGACTCACGGCTATCTGGCTCGACGAGCCGGACTTAATCCGAGCGTGCCACGAGCGCCTCTATCGGCGGCAGTCTCTTCGACGCGCGTGAAAGAGAGAAAGAGAGGGTGAGAGAGACGGCCGACCTGTCGGAGGATCGGCGACGAATGCACGCGCGTCGACTCTACGCCCTACGCTGCACTCAACCAGACTTCCAGAAGTGCACGCTTGACGACGCTCAGGACGACGATCCACGGTGAAGTGTAGCGATGTCCTCGGATAAATGAAAGCAAATGTACTAGAAAATGATTCAAACTGGCGTAAATTTGGTAATCTGGGAGGCTCCCTTGTTGCACTCGATTACTGTCATTTGCGACTTGAATTGTATTAAGGAAGTTTATGGATTATATGAGACTACCAAGATGTTTGGAATTATTTATTGTACTGCTGAAGATGGCTTGAATTAAGCCGAAACATTCGGTATTTGTTATGTATATGTAGTATCGAGAAATATGTGTTGATATAATTGTTCCAATTACGAATTTAGGCTCTTAATTGTCTGTTTTTTCATTTATTATTTAATTTTTAAACCGTAAAACATATCATTTTCCAAGGAAATAAGACCGAATACTGAAAATACGACAACTCTCTTCTCTCCCCCCCCCCCTCCTTCTCTTTCTCTCTCTCTATTTGAAAAAAAAAAATTACAGAGAAACAAAAGTTTTTAAATAAAAAAGGTAAAATTCTTCCGTTTTTGTACTGTAAAATGATAACTTTGACATAATCAGAACAACATTGACCCAGTCGGGACAATGGCTCAAATTTAAAAAAATGTTTAAACAGCACGCGTGTTCGAAATTAGGACACACACTGAGAAAAAGAATTTTGTTAATTTAGCAAGCCACTAGTAGGGAGACCGGGGTCAGTTGAATATAGGGGTAAGTAGACTAATCGAGGCTACATTAAAAACAAAACACGCGAGACACGCGTAAACGTGTCTGAGCAGCAGCGACTGCCGCTAAGTCTGCTGTAACATCTTGTTGCGAACACATCTATGATAGAAGTTATGCCACAGTTTTAAAAAATCGTACACCTAAGTAAATATTTTTATTCTTAAAGTTTTTGTTTTCCAATCGTATATGATTGTCTGAAATATTTGATTTCTACTTAGATAGTAAGTATAGTTCTTACTTAATAAAATTCAACAAATTTTTTTTGTTTATATGTTCTTTGTTATCGTATTGTTAACGTTTTTAAAAAAAGAACGGATGGGGATAGTAGACTAACCACAGCGTGGAACTATAACTCATTTAGTAACGACTCTTATAGTACTTATTCAAAATTTTATTCCTTTAAAGAGATTTTCCTCGGTGATAAATGTTATAAGTTTAATTCCCTCATGTCCAAAAAAATCTTAAAAAATTAAGCTCATTCGACGTATTTTTGTACAAAATGAACAAATTTTACAAAAAGAAGTATTGTTTTGCCCTGCAAAGCGAATGTTTGTGTTTAAAATATAATATATTTTTATAAAAGTTTTATTAATGTATAGCCAAAAATATAACTTAAAATACATTAATTTTTATTTTAATAATCTTAGTTGAATTACCTGATCCTGGGGCTTGAATCAAATGGAATGGATTAGAAAAATGCATTTTTTTTCATATTAGTTATTAGTTTCCCCTTATTATTAAAATATTATTAAATAGTCAAATATATGTAGTAACTGGTGTAGAATTCTTTTTTTCGATAAGTCTCTTAATTTCGTCTGTAAAAATTTGAAACTGAAAAATGAGTCTATTAACTCCGGTCTCTCCTACCTTTAACCGGTGATCGATAAATATGTGACAACAAATTTTATTGTTGTATCTGTTGTTAGTCTCTGCTATACTAACCAATTATTAATAACAGAAGCAAACTATATAGAATCTAACCTATCTTTTGGATAGACTTTAGGCTCGTTTACATAGGAAATTCGTAGATAATCATGGAGTCTTAAGTCATAGGAAACCAAACACAGTCAAATGTAGGGAGAATACTTGACTAGAATTGATTAATTTCTTATGATTTGGGATCCTCCTATCGTCTCGATTTATATATATATATATATATATATATGAGCCTCTTATTTATTAGCAATTGATTATTTGTTACATTGACGAATTAATTTGCAATCATAAAAAATCGATCGGTTTTATAACAAATATCACATTTGCTTTTCCTTGATTTGTTCCTATAACAAAATCATTTCTCTCAGTGCAAGATTATATGTTCTTATATGTCCTCAAGAAGATTTTAAGATGTCTTATATCTCAATTTTAACATGCATTCTAGATATTTTCACAATTTGATTCCCAAAATTACTCCATTTTACGATACCAATTTCTCCAAATGTAATATGTAGGTAAATTTTTTATATTATTGTATAATTTATTAAAAACAGAGAGAGAGATAGATCAGAGTTGAAACGACGCTTAGTGCTACGTGAGAAAAAATCAAGAATCGCTTCTGAGTACAAGTATCGTTAGTTTTAACTAACAGCGAGGAACCTATTAAAAGTCTGTTCTTTAGAGTAAATTAAATAGAAATATGCCACTGAGATGAGTTTCGTTATTATGAATCAAATCTATCAACTCACTATCTCGTAGATATCTACTTTTCGATCTGATTTTGAACAAAAATTTCTCCACAATTTTCAATAAATTGGAATAAATGTACAAGCATATTATTTATTTTCTACATGTGATAAGCGATATTGCAATAATGTGAAAGTGTTTTGCGGACGTATCACGAGCATGTAATAATTAAGACGTAATGGTGGGCGTGCGATGTTATAATGTTTCCACTATTTGAAATAGAAATCCTGATTACGACCTCGGGAGATTAATGCTGTATGCGCTAAACGAACTACGCACGTTTTCGTAGTACTGTTGTACATAATACCTGGAAAAGTAACGTCTAACATCATGGAAATAATAACTATATATCTTTTAAAAATAATAAAATAAGAAGTATGAGCGAGATACAAACTTATAATAATGAGACGATTTTTTTCATTGAATTTTACACTCGACATTATTTCATTTCAAATATATTTTTTCTTTCAAATTGGTTTCCGATTGATCAACTTTGAAACGCAGTGACCGTTCTACCATTGATACAGCGTGAATTCCACGATACTTAAAAAAACGGCAATAATTTTCTTCAGCAAAGAAAAGTAAAATATATCTAAGAAAATTTCTATGACTCAACCAAACACACGTTCGTAACTGTTTCTTCATCAT